CACAATGCAACAATTCAATCATAAAAATCTATTCTTAATCTTTTATGTCAAATAAATAAATCATTTTATAACTTAGTACCATAATGGGCCTTTAGCCTCAAACTGACCATCACCAAAACAAATCATCACAGTCACTACAGAAACACAAACCCTGTCATGCCAGTAACAATTTTCATACTGATTAGAATCTAGAAAAATAATTTTTCAACATTCCATTTTTAAAAAATGAAATATAAATAAGAACAGATCATTTCTTCCTTTGATGTTGTTTTATTAGAGCTGGTTCTTTTTTTCAAACAGAAACAAAATTATTGGTTGAATCTAAGCTATTTCTAAACTTGCCATGAGTAAATTGACTGAATAAAATAATTATTCAGATCATAATATGGAAGGCAGTTGGACTATTAAATCCATGGCCCCTTTAACACACAGGCATGGTTTTCTTCTATGCTCTGCTGCGATGGCATCTCCAGCCTCTGATTTCCTCCCATTAGACTCCGATCTGCCCGGAAACAGCGCTAACAAGCAGGACCACAGGAGTGTGTCCGTCACTGCTTACGCAGCTATCCGGAGTGGAAGAACGCACACACACGGGAAAACGAGGGACGAGAGCGGGACTGGGCCGAAGGCCGGAAAGACAACAAAGAAAAGTCAAAGTATCAGAGCAAAGAGCGAGAGCAGCTCTGCTGCTGCCTCAGGCAGCAACGAGATGCACTCTTTCACAGGCAAAATAAAAATATCAAATCGTGACGTTTTTGTTCTATTTCCATTTTGAAAGGTAAAAATTAACACCAGTTTTGTGACGCATCCTCTCCACTAGCTGTGATCAACCAGAGCAGCAAGAAGAAACATATGCAGCACAGCAGCAGCATCAATGTGAAACAGGGAAGCATCAAACCTGGAGATTTTCTAAAGCTTATAGCAAATCCAAACTCATCCATCAACATTCTGTTTGAGTTTAAGTCTGACCATAAACAGATTAAATAATAATAATGTGTATAATGCACACACACACTTACATATACACACACTATGACCCTAAAAAGCCTCTGAGTTTTTCTAGAAAGTGAATCAAATAAGTTTGTTGCTGAATTTACAGAACAGAGTGAAACTCTTTGCCTGTGATGAGTTAAAGGGACGCTTTACACAGGATTCACATTTTGCACAGTTTTGTACTTTCATTGGAGTTTCTGCTGCAAACATCCAAAATGCTTAAAAAACCACCCAGCTGTTTTTTCATAAACAGATTCATGGTTTTGGTGTCTGGAAAATGAGCAGTTTCAAAAGGTTTTGGAATGTAACAGGCCTGTTACCTAGCAACCCCTGCAGAATCCATAAAGCTCCAGCATGTTTGGTCAGCTGGTTTCACCTATATTCACTGTACAGAAAGATGAGTGTTTAGTTGGTTTACCATCGAGAAACCACTTGCTGTATTCTGATTGGCTGTACAGGAGGCTCCACTTCTGCTTTTCAAAGATGTACGGTTGTATAATAGCTCATCTGTTTGCAGACATTTTCATGTGGAGTGTAAACATTGATTGTGGGCGTGGCCAGCAGCAGCCTGTATGGTTAACAATAATTGCCAACTTAGTAACTTTGTTCCTATATTTAGCAACTTTTTAGACATAAAATTTGGTTTCAGCTAAACTGGAGAGTCAGGCTTCATAAAGATCAGTTACCAGCCAGAAAACTGCCATCTGGGCACCGCTGAAGCAAACCAGCAGGAATTATGAGAATTATGTTTAGCTTCAGCAAAGTGTGGAACGGTTACTTCTGTGAACAGAGACCAAATAATGAAATTATTGTCAACAGGATTCTTATATAAAAATGAAGATGTCTCTTCCTCCAGAATGATGAGGCATTTCACTGCTTTCAGGCCTAGAGGCGCCTCGGTTTCCATCTGCAGCTCGCTTCCCCTGATAAGGCCGCTCTCCTGGGAGCGTGGAGCGGAGACATGATGTTATTGTGGTGGCAGGTTTGCACTCTGGCACTCTCTCTCACAGTCACAGAGGTCTGAGCTGCGGGTGCAGGAGGGGCGGCGTGTTTTACTGGGGGCCGAATGATGCAGGCAGAATATTCCCTCAGTCAGAGCCGAGCGACGGCGCGCAGACGGCGCGCAGACAGTGCGCAGACAGCGCGCAGACAGACGAGCAGACAGACGCGCAGACGGCACACAGACGGCGCGCAGACAGAGGAGCAGACGGAGAAACTCTGCTGCTGACGACGAAAACAAACCAGAACAACGAGAACGGTTTTTTAAAACACCCGACAGATCTGAGTGATGAAACTCAAACATTAGCTACATGTTGCTTATGTGACTAAAAAACTAATTCCTCAGTCTTCATTTTATCGTTTTCATTTAGCAACATTTCTTTTCTTCTCAGATTCTGTTTTCACTAATTTCTCAGTTGAGGCTCTTAAAGATCTTTTAAAGTAAAATATCCCAGTTTCACGTTAAACGCAAAAAAGCTGTGAATCAAGATTTAACCTTGAATATTAAAGAAATTCAAATGGCTCATTTATTATTGTCTGAATAAACACACAGTCCCATCCATGGTCTTCAACCTGAGGCTCCGGAGCCACTAGAGGCTCATTGGCTATTCATAACTTTGCCTAAAATCAGATAATAATTTTAAATATAGATATAGCAACAAATGCAACCTTTAAAAGTTTTCAGTTAAGATCAATTTCCACAACAAAAGCATTATTAATATTTATTTTGATTTTTTTTACTTTGGAAAATGTGTTCCTTTTTCTCTTTTACATAATTTTCACCCAAATCGACCCAATGATCTTTGTGTAAAAGTTTTAGTTTTACTTTATTTTTGGACCTAAAAACAAAACAAAAAATAACAACAAATGTCATTTATTAGTTAAGCATCAAAAATATAAAGTTGCTTTGTGGCTTTAAGTCGATTATTTGCAGAAAAAGCTCTTTGGACTGTAAAGGTTGTAAAGTTTTGCACTTTGCAACTTTTTAAACCTTTTAGTGCTTTACATTTTAAAGCACTAATTTAATTGGCTGTTTTGTAAAGTTAGATACATTTTGAAGACGTTTCATCGATGGTTGAGAATCTTTAGTTAGCCGTGTAAATTCACGCTCTTATTTTGAAGAGAGTGAAGTCTGATTATGCAGCAGTTCCATTTCCTCTCTCTCTCTCTCTCTCTCTCTCTCTCTCTTGTTCTCTCTCTCTCTCTTTCTCTCTCTTGTTTTCTCTCTCTCTCTTTCTCTCTCTCTCTTTAATTCAAGCCAGAAATATACATTAAAAGAATAAAACAGGAGGATGGAGAGCAAACAGAAACATAAATACAATATCTACAGGTATAGATTTGGTGAATCAAAATGTCTTGAGGGCTCTGGTGTTTTTAAAAAACAGGAACATTTTTTGAGATGAAGGAAAAATCCAGAAGCTTTCTTTCAGCCAGCTGATAGCACACAGCAACAGGTGAGGAAGGGGGGAATGATATGAAACTACAGAAAGTGATGATATTATCACAGCCTTTCATTGAATGAACTTTCTGTTGGTAACCAGGTCACACTGATCTCCAACACCCTTCAACTTTCTGTCAGTCAGACAACAAGAATCCAAAATAATGAGATATTAGCCAGACGGAGAGTCAGGTTGTCTCCTCAGCTTAACTTTACCAGCAGGAATGTACACAGGATGACATCAGCATGATGTAACCCGCTAAGTGCTGCCTGAAATGCTGCACAGCCTGAGCAAAGGATGCCATCATGATTTTTTAATGCAGAAAGGCAGCTGTGCAAGAATGTCACACAGAAAAAGCTCAGAGATCCATATTTAATGTCTTCATTCGTCAGGCTCAGCATGTAAAGCAGAACCGACTGGGACCAACAAACATGTCCACTAATCACCTGCTCTCTGCTGTCTTAGTCCAAGTTAGCAAAGGTCAAAAAAGATAAGAAGCAATTAAAGTTCACCGAAAGAAGAAAATTATTCTGATGTATGGGGAAAACATACAAATGTGATTTTATTCTTAGATAGGACAACAAAAAGTCCAAGAAGGTTCAAATCCCAGACGAGCCCCCAATTGTTTCAACCTGGCTAAGTTTTAATCTTACCTAAACTAAAGGTGAGATGAAACCTTCTGACCTGAACCAGCCGCAGCCCAGTGACAACAGCTGTAAATGGCATCATGGACAAACAGAAAGAGCAGCAACTTCTTAAAGAGCAGAGGCCAAATTTCAAGGCATTCAATTGCAAAATGAAGTGAAGTGATGTTTCATACACCGCATTTTTATAACAAATTGCCTGATTGTGTTATAAAATGCCTGGAGAACACATAATACTGGCCCTTTAAGACGCAGATGCTATAATGAGCGCTGAGGCTAACTAGCACCGGTGGTGGCAGCATCATGTTGTGGGGACATGGAAGCTGGTTAAACATGAGGGTCAGTAGAGGTTCAGATCTGGACGAGACAAACATGCAGAAGGTTTTTCTACAAAGTTTAGTTGAACAGAAATAGTTCGTCTCGCCTTATCGGTTCTCCATAACCTTGAGCTCAATCCTGTTTGCATCCATGATGCAAATGGACCAGATGTATACATAATCAATCCAACAAACCTCTTTTGGATTTATTGGATTTTACATGTTTTCATGTAAAACATGTAAAATCCAATAAATTTGATGACATGGTTTGATAAGTGTGGCTGTGAAATCCATTTAAACGTGTAGATATGAAGATGAGATGCCAGCAGAGGTTCAGATTCCTACAGGATGTTTTATTTATTGGGAGTTTGGGCTTGAACTAGGCCTGTAGGCTTCGGACTGTGCAGCTTGTAAACTATCAGCTTCCAATATTTTTTAAATCTCTGTTCAGTTGGAAGGATTTCCAGTTTCCAGTCATAGATTAGATCAGATTAGATAAGCAGCCCAATCATTTTCCCCTCCCAGATGATTCGCTCACAAGTTTCCCAGCAGCTGACCGCAGTGCGCTGCGTCCCGCGGCTCCAAACGCTCCCGCTCCGGAGCCTTACCTCCTGTAGCTGCTCCAGCTCCTTCCGGAGGATCTCCTGGTCGGTTTCCAGCTCCGCATATTTCTGCTTCAGCGCCTGATTCTCCTCCAGGACGGCCAGCCCGCACTCCGCAGCCCGGATCTTCTCCCTGTTGGCCTCGGCCAGCTCCTGCGTGAGCCTCTCCACCTCGGCCCGGTACTGATCCACCGATTCCCCGCATCCTCCTCCGGCGGCCATCGCCCTCTTTCCGCAGTGTGTTTTTCTGCCCCCCACCCCCTGCAGGTCTGATCCAGCGCCGTGTGGATGGAGGCAGAGCCAGAGCGGCGGGCGGAGGCTGGAGGATGCTGAGAGTCCGCCCTCCTCTTCCTCCTCCTCCTCTTCCTCTGAAAGGAAGCAGAGGACAGGAAATATCCGGGAAGGAAATCACGACATGTCAGCTGCTCTACAGCATCAGAAAAGAATAACTGTGACTAATGAAACCTTCATGAAACAAGGTCAGTGTTGATGACTCTCAGCTGAACGGAAGGTGTCATTTCTGCCTATTCATGGGCTGAAGGGCGCCACCTTTTGGCTACTTTAAGACATAACATGCTTTGTCTGGCAGCCTAAAGTATTCATACCCTTCTCCACAAAGTGACTCATATAGATGTAATCAGTTGAAATGAAAACATGAGGAATCCCAGTTAATAACAGGTTATATTTTATCAGTTTGGTTTATTCAGCAGCTTTTCAGAATGAACTGAAAATGTTTGTTTTTCTTCATTAGAAACTAAAATTATTTGATGATCAGAGAAAAAAAAACATTTGTACATCAAAGTGGGGATCCATGGGATTTCATTTCAGTTTTACTCATATTTCTTATGACAATAAAATAAGTCTGAGTGAAGTCAGGTCTTTATGTGTAACTTGTATTTTTTTAATTATTAAATGTGGGAGGAATAAGAAATTAGATTTTTGTCCCAATAAAATATTTAGGTTTGGTGTATTTGAGGAGTTTTTTTGTTTTGTTTTTTGAGTTTTCTTCAGTTCAGGTGAAAAGTTTCTGCTGCACAAATCAATGTTTCTCACTCTGGTGTCAAAGTACTTTACAGTAAATGATAAAAAGAAAACAGGAGTGGTGCTGTAAAAAATGGCAAAGTCAGATGAAATATGAGAAACTATAAATAATTTCTACAGCTGCATGTTTTATTTTTGCTTTCAACAAATCAAAGCATTTGATGTCTGACAATTATCACTAATTAATTATAAAGTTTCATTGTGATCGTTTGCTGTTACACAACAGTGGTCAAGGTTTTCTGTGCTGCTCCCTGCCAACTATTTCTGTCCTCTTTAACTCTGTGAAGCGCTGATAAATTTCTCACTCAGGCAGTAAACAAAAGATACGGCCGGGGTGAAAAGTTGAGCCGTTCTCATAAACCTGCAATCAGTTCTGGTTCCGTCAAATCAGTTGCTGAATTGATCTGCAGGGTGGTGTTTTCCTATCTGTCTGAGGACTTGAAATTATTTACATAAAGCAGAACTGAGAACTGTTTAGATTATTGCACAAGCAGAAACTTTTGTTAAGCTCGACTTTCTGAAGCAAAGTGGCATTTTTAGAGAATATGCTTTGAAGAAGTTTTCCAGCATTAACATGAGCTTCTATTTGTAAAGATATTCTACCAGGTGATATTTTTGCCTTTGGACTGATTTGACAAGGCCTCCAAATCACTGAGCTGACCTGTGAATAACCTCGTCTTACAAGTCCAAATTAAGATAAGGAGAGGTTGTCAGAAAGTCAAACAGATGAACTTTTCATGACATGGGCTTATCTTATCTTTCACAAGGAAGTGTGGTGTCATGAAAAAGGCTAAATGCTGATCTCCATAACAACACAGCGGTTTTCTGGTGAGAGACATGTGGAACAAGCTGCTTTCAAAGCTTCATCTGTACAGATTTAGCTGCAAAATTTAAAGAAAATGCAAAATTCATTTCAGAAATTCAGTTTATTGGAAAATGCTAAACATTTGTAGCTGCATGCGCTCTGCACAATGTCAGATATTCTGGGATTTAAGGTTAAATTTCACAGAACCTGGTTCAAAACTCCACAATTGTTTTTTTTTTTTACATTTTATATAAAAAAGATTTTTAAAGCTGTGAACGTTGTGAGACAGTAAGAGAGGCTATCGCTGCGTCCCGTGCAGGTGGGAGCAGACACTCCTGTGGCTGTGTGTGCTGCCTTGTGTTGCAGAGGATCTGAAAAACAGCCTGGATGGTTCAGGCGTCCAGCAGCTCAGCCAGCGCAGCGGCTCAAGCGGCGGCTCCTGGAAGAGACAATATTTCCCAGAGATTTTACAACCTGAAGACAACCTTCCTGGAAATGAGTCTCAGTACCTCGTAATAAAGCAGAGGATGAGTGGCTGAACATATCCGCCGCCTGCTCATCACCTCGATTTCCTTCAGTGTTTCTGACTTTCTCCACTTTGCTCGGCGGTTCTGGAACCAAATCTGTAGCACAATAAAATTCATTTTTATTGGGATATGAAATCTGCAAAGCGATGTAGCAAAGGTGCAGCTAAAGGCATTAAAGGGACGAGAGTTTAAGAGACACTGAATTGCCTTGTCAAGGTCAACAAGCTGTTTACGACAGGGTTCATAAAAAAACTAAAAAAAACTGTGCATTTAAGTTTAAAAAATTCCATTCTGTTTTTGTGCCATGTTACCAAAACATGAATTATTCAACAATAATTACAATTTTACTTTAGTTAAGCAGTGTGTTTGCGATATGAGTTGGTTTTACAATCATTTTGGATGAAAACATGCTTGATTAGCAGGGTAGGACATATTTGTGCTAATGTGCTAATAGCAGAGCGAATCTTAGCTCAGCAAAAGTTTTAGCTTAGCGCTTTAACACTTTTGCTAACTATGAAAACATTTAACATACTTAGCTTTACCGAAATGACATTTTCTGGATAGATTTTAAAGCACTAATTTTCTGTTTCATAAACTTTCAGTTGAAGAAATCCAGAAATCTGTGAAGACATTTTGATTATTAATTTTAAGAATTTTTTCAAATGATTAGTCATTTATGTTTATGCTTTTATTATGAAGAGTATGTACACAGCAGCTTCCTCTGTATCTTTTTAAAACCCACTAACTTTATTTCTAACATGAAACCTACAGACAAAATGGAAAAAATAGCAAGGAGAAATACAAGGAAAGTAGAATATTTTCCATATAATTTTAGCGTTAGCACAGCTAACCTTTCAGTTAGCGGTGTCCACCTCTGCTGATTACTATTTACAATAACATGTATACGTTTTTATTACTGCAAATTATTTTTGCTTACATCCAATGCAAACATTTAAAATTACAATATTACTCTTAACTTCATTATTTAATTTATTTCTTATTTCGAAATGACATGAAAACAAAACGATGTAGCATTTTACCAGGACATAAAGGCTCATTATTATTAAATCAAACCAACAGCAAATACTTTTTAATCGAGAAATATGGGATTAACTAAAATGTTATTTTCTACAGGTTAATCTGATAAATGAGCCTCATTGCAAAGGACGTTATAATTTATTAAGTATGAGTGTTTGCATATAGATATCGTTCTGCTGAATTGTTTGCGTCCGTTGGGTCATGACCCCTCAGCAGCAGCCCCATCAGCAGCTGTTGTACCTGTATTCGTCCCTCCGTCAGCTGCAGACGGCCGGCCAACTCGTCTCTGGTGTTGACGTCTGGATAGTGAGTCTGTTGGAAAACCGCCTCCAGCTCCTGAACCTGGATCGGCGTGAATGTCACCCTGGTTTGTCTTTTCCTCTTCTGACCTGCAGGTGAACAATTTATTAAAATCTCTTTGCTGGTTAAATAAATGCCACATTCACGGAGGTGCCTCTGTGACCCAGATAATTAATAAATACTCACTTTTGGTTTCTGTGGCAGATTTTGGAGATTCTTCATGATTTTTCTGTGAGGAATCTATAAACAGTGACAGTGAAGCTTTAACAGGAAAACTTATTTTCTGGCTACATTTTAAATCAAACTGTTAATTAATGGTAGATTTAAAACCTTACCTGTGTAAGAGAGCTGGTTATGTACCTCAGTGTTTTCTTTAATAACAGACCAGCTTCGATAAACTCTTTCCTCTTTTCTGATCGGTCTTCTTAGTATTTCTTCAATTGAATGTGAAATGTGTTTGTGCTGCCGTGATTCCCTCTCTTGATCCACACAGAAATGTTTTTCTTGCTCTCCTTTTGTCCACATGTCCAACAGTTTATCTCCCATCACCAGCAGGCTTGTCATAGGAAAAAAATGATCATAAATCTTCTCAGTGTGTCTGCAGTATCAGGAGCTGCGAAGGTAAACAGATTCTGCAGTGTTCGCTCAGTCAGAGGAAGACGATGTGGTTTCCTCCCTCCACTGGCAGTCTGTGTTTGACCTGTATCACATGGTCAGCATGGAGGTGGAGCATCAGTGCACAACAGAATATTTCCAGGAAACTCTTAAAATTCAGGATGTACCAATTAGTGACAGAACTAGCATAGATCACTGTCAAATCAGAGGAATCAGAACTTCTGACTCCGCAGAACAAACTGCAGAAAAATCATGTAAAAGCTACGCACCTGATCTGAAACCTGGATAATATTCAACTATTAAACACGTTTGCTTCTCTTTCTTATCACCTGGTTTACTGCACTGGTTTATCACCTTGGCCTTGATGCACCTTCTGTTCTCCTCTTCCATTCAGAAACTCAGGAGAATCTCATCACGTAAAAAGACCATTGATTGAGGAATTTGTCTCCCTCTAGTGGCCTGCACCGGCAGCTCCTCTCAACCTTTCCATTCAGATTCAGTTCATCCAAGAACCAGCAAGACTTTTCCTAAACGGATTTTCTGTTCCAAAGCATCATTTTAAATGTGTTTTACTTCAGATTACAGCTAGATTAGTTACCATAATTACACAGATCATACACATCTCTACATTATATCAATAGGTAACTCTGAACGCATTGATTTCTTCAATCTGACTAAAAAAAAAGAAAAATAAAGAAAACAGTTGTTGTATCAACCTTGCAGACTCGTCGGGTTTTCTGGTTCTGGTTGATTCCCAGAATCAGAACCGAACATGGAGAAATAATTTATGCTCCTCTAATCTGGAATTAACTTCTAGAAAACAGAAAATCTGCTGAAACACTGAGCTCCTTTAAACTAAAGGCTGCTTATCTGCCTTTGCTTAATAATCACTGGAACGTATTGATCTGATATCACAACTTTTCATCCCTTTCCTTTAATCTGCCAGTGCAGTGGATCCTTTTTTTGTTTGTTTTGTGTTTTCATAATTTAAAACATTGAATTTTCCTGTTGCTGAAATGAACCAAACAAATAAACCCGTCTTCCTCTTCTAGATGTTTTCTGGTGTCAGCTCCATATTATTGTCTGTTTGCGTCATAAATATGACTGCAAAAAGGCAGGCCCAGCATCCCAGAGGTACTGGTACCATAACCTGAGAACCTCTCAGCAGAATGTGAGCTTCTCAGGTTCAGGCTGTGGATTCATGAGCAGCGGAGAAAAACAACAGCAGACAACAATATAATCTACACGAATAATAATAATTATCATTAACAGAAAGTTTAAATTTCACTAAACAGCAACAAATTGGTCAATAAATTCTATTAACCAGTTTATAATATGGATATTTATTTATGATCCTGGGTTGAGACTGTAAACTGATTTTATCATTTGAGTCTCCTGTGGGTCTGACTGCATCCTGGGGCCTGAACACTTCCTGCATTGTTCTTGACTTCAGCTGATTTAACTCTGACCTCACTGTCCAGCGTTAAAGCCTCAAGAGCCTAAAAGCAGGAGATTCTTTTAATGAGGAGGAACTAAAAGCGGCATGTGAACGCTCAGCCCGTCCCTGGAAATCACTCAGCTGGATTCACAAACCAAATGGATTCTTTACAGAGGTCGTCACAAGATCCCAGAACAATAGGTGCTGACCGGCAGGACGGGATGCAACAAGGGACATTTCCCAACGAGAAACGGCAGAAATAAAAGATACATTTCCTCCGCAGCAGGAGAATTTCATTTGGTGATGACATGAGATCAGGCTCTGCTTCCCGAAGAGTTTCAACATTTTAAAAATAAAATAAATACAATTTTCAACCAGAAGCAAAAAAATAAAAAAAATAATATTTTCCATAAAATCTTAGCTTTTAGTTTAAATTTCTCACTGAGAAAACGTTTTATTTTTCACACTTGAATGTTCCAACTTTTTTCATGTAGTTTTTCTCCCCTGCCAGTAAAATAAACTCAAATCTGCCTCGTTATGGAAACGTGTCAAATCCACACTTTATATGTAGCTATTTGTTTCCAAACATTTTAAGACTGAAATGATTAATCACATTAATTGTGATTAGTTGAAATTGAAATAATACTAATATAATAACACATGCTTTAAAGAATGTAATTTGCTGAAAAACTCAAAGCAATAATGAAGCCAAAACTGAAAAGAAAAAAAAATGCTTTACATTCAGGAATAATAATAAAAAATCTTTTTCTGCAAATCTGTTCTACCCAAAACTCAAGTTGCAGTTTTAGCTTCATCTTTAAATCCTGTAAAATAATCACCTACTAAGCACCTTTTGCTACCCAAACATTAATCTGTTAATCCAGGAAATATTCTGCAGATCAGTCCTGCACTGAGCTGATGTTCAACCAAACAGAAAGGATTTTTACAGGCTGATGTTGGAAGAATCATGAGCTGCAGATTTTCATCTTTTCTCCTAGTGACATTAAAATAAGACAAAACAAAAAACACACAGTGGAGAACAAGACAGAAGCATCGATATAATATGTCAGGGCGTTGCAGAACATGTCAGGTCAAAATTCATTTTGAGCTTGCTGGTTGCATCCTGAAGGCCAAAGGTCATTTGAACGGCTTTAACATTTAACTCAGCTAATGTTTGAGCTGCAATCATTCACTTTGTTATATCATATTGGTGGTGCAGAAATGTCAGAGGGTTAAATGTGACTGTTCATGTTTTAGCACAAATGTTTCCAGCTGAGTTGATGAAAAGGCGTCGCATGCGGACCAAGCCGACCTCAGCGTTGCTGTGGGCTGAGGCTGCAGGCTGAGGCTGCGGGTTGAGGCTGCGGGTTGAGGCTGCGGGTTGAGGCTGCGGGTTGAGGCTGCGGGCTGAGGCTGCGGGCTGAGGCTGCGGGTTGAGGCTGCGGGCTGAGGCTGCGGGTTGAGGCTGCGGGCTGAGGCTGCGGGTTGAGGCTGCGGGCTGAGGCTGCGGGTTGAGGCTGCGGGTTGAGGCTGCGGGCTGAGGCTGCGGGTTGAGGCTGCGGGCTGAGGCTGCGGGTTGAGGCTGCGGGTTGAGGCTGCGGGCTGAGGCTGCGGGTTGAGGCTGCGGGCTGAGGCTGCGGGTTGAGGCTGTGGGCTGAGGCTGCGGGTTGAGGCTGCGGGCTGAGGCTGCGGGTTGAGGCTGCGGGCTGAGGCTGCGGGTTGAGGCTGCGGGTTGAGGCTGCGGGCTGAGGCTGCGGGTTGAGGCTGCGGGCTGAGGCTGCGGGTTGAGGCTGTGGGCTGAGGCTGCGGGTTGAGGCTGCGGGTTGAGGCTGCGGGCTGAGGCTGCGGGTTGAGGCTGCGGGTTGAGGCTGCGGGTTGAGGCTGCGGGTTGAGGCTGCGGGTTGAGGCTGCGGGTTGAGGCTGCGGGTTGAGGCTGCGGGTTGAGGCTGCGGGTTGAGGCTGCGGGCTGAGGGTTAGGGTTGAGCCTGCGGGTTGAGGCTGCGGGTTGAGGCTGCGGGCTGAGGCTGCGGGTTGAGGCTGCGGGTTGAGCCTGCGGGTTGAGGCTGCGGGCTGAGGATGCGGGCTGAGGCTGCGGGTTGAGGCTGCGGGTTGAGGCTGCGGGCTGAGGCTGCGGGTTGAGGCTGCGGGTTGAGGCTGCGGGTTGAGGCTGCGGGTTGAGGCTGCGGGTTGAGGCTGCGGGCTGAGGCTGCGGGCTGAGCTACGGGCTGAGGCTGCGGGCTGAGGCTGCGGGTTGAGCCTGCGGGTTGAGCCTGCGGGTTGAGGCTGCGGGCTGAGGCTGCGGGCTGAGGCTGCGGGCTGAGGCTGCGGGTTGAGCCTGCATGTGATTTCTATTTTCTAAAATCTGTTCTGTTCATGTTGTATTCATTCAGGAGAAATATTGGTGTCGACAATCATGTCCAGACAAAACTATGAGTAAAAACATGCAGGAAAAGCTGCATTTTGGAAGCTTCATCTGCAACTTTTTACAACTTTAATGAAACCACAGAAGAAAATTTGTTGTTTTTTCATGTCTCTGCTCCATAAAGCTGTATTAATGAATCAATAGCACCTGTTATTATAGACTTCAAGTTTTGAGTGAAATGCTGTTTGCTACAGACACGCAGTTTATTTCTGTTTTATGCACTGAAGTGTCTTCAAGCAGTCAGTCTCAAGAGGTGAGATAATCATTTTCAGTATTGAAAACTGCACAGAAGTGTCACAGTACCTTTCTTCTTCCTGGACTTTAACTAGGCAGATGTGGGCTGCTATCAAACTCTCAATTTACACTAATAATATAATTGAAGCTAATGGCATTTGGAGGGAAATGTTGAGGTATGATAAATTGGGAAATGAAGTTATGGCTTCGAGCGGCTCATGAATAACAGCCTTGTGTTGTATGAGACTTCGCAGCACGTGATAGTCACAAACGCAAATATTTGTTGTTAAAATTAGAAGGGAACTGGAGCTGCTTGAGGAAAGCTCAAAACCAACACATGCAAAATGCTAAAAACAAGATTCACTCAATGTGGAACAAAGTTAAGCACAAAAGCAGCAATAATCCTGACAGCAGGTGAAAGCAGGAGCAGGTTACAGAGGTTCTGGCCTCAAAGGCTTGTAATGAGATCAGGGTTTGTTTACAGTGAAAAGGACAGAAGATCTGCAGCCTGCCAGAAGCTGGTTGGTCAGCTGCTGCTTCTGTTGTAATTCGGTTCACATGAGCGCTCGGTTGGACCTATTAGTCAGCACGAGCTGCAGTCCCATGTCTGAAATTTGCTTTTTCTCAGCAGGCTGTCCGACCCGCCTGCCTCCCGGCCCATTCCTTTTGTTCGCTTTCTCTTCTTTCTTGTCTGTTTCTTCTCAAGCTTCAGGAAACTAAAGCTGAACTAAACCTGAGCCAGCAGGTTGAAGCTGACATGACCTCAGAGAAGGAAAGCAATGGACTCGACAACTTTGCCTTTGCGGTGAGTTTAATGCTTTGTTTTTCTTTGATAAAACAAGCTTTACTAAAAATGACATAAATGGAAATCTGGGGATGAACTTATTAGATCTAGCTAAACTTGTTGGTTTGGGATTTTTTCTTGTCTTTTTCTACTTAATTAAATTTACATGCTAACAGCTGGAACTGAAGAAAATACAAAAATCAATTTGTAAATTACCATCTTTCTGCCTTAAAGATGGAAGTAAAAGCCAAAGTACTTTAATCCCCTCATTGAATTTGCAGGACCCAAGTTCCACAGGTCTTTTGTTTCTGCACCGCCTCAGGTCTGAACAAATGAAGAAATGAATTTCTGTCAAATAGAAGAAACATTTGATTTAAATTTTCTGTAATAATTTATGAACGTTTAGGGCGTTTTGTGTCCAAACCTTCAGTTCTGCCTCTTTTCTCACGTCTTCCTGTGTCTGTCTGTCGAACTGAAGCTGGAAGGAGGTTTCTGTGATCTATCAGAAAAAGGAGAAGATCTGGACTCATCTATTGATGAAGACACAAACAAACTGGCTTACTGCGTGACAGATGTCCCGCCCTGGTACCTCTGCATCCTCTTAGGCGCTCAGGTTTGTCAGGAAAAGCTTTGAAAGCCGACAGTTTTCATGGAGTCCAGAGTTACATAACAACATCAACAAGATTTATTTTAGTCATCCGGTTCTTAGTTCATGTTTCAATACGTTTAGGCCTGCAGCTAACAATTATTTTAGTAGTAGAATATTCTGATAATGAATCGATTAATCAGATAAAAAACTTGTATATTCTGCAGTTTTCATTTAGCCATTTAAGTTTTTTTTATAGATGCATTGAAAGATGCAAATAACTTTTAAAACAAGACAAAAAACATTTTATTTCATAAAACTCAACAGTTGTGAAGTAAAAGAGGCATCTGCAGCTGAAATGTTCAGAACAGAGTAGGGATGATCTGGTGATTATTTTATGGATCAACTGATCAGAAGTTACTGAAGATTTTTATTTTTTCAGAATTTGAACCAGGTGAAGCTAAAACTGCCACTAGAAAAGTCCTAATATGTTTTTAATACCTTAAAAACAAAATGTACATATTTTTGCACAGTTTAGGTTTAATTATTGCTCTTAATGTGTTGTTCTTTCAGCAAATGATCATTTTTATAGTCTATCCTCCAGTTAGCAATTAATTGATACTAAATTAGTTACATTTCACTAATTGATTCATCATTATTAATCATTTCAGTATTAAATGAATTCATCCATTAAAAGTCAAACTGTTTTATTCTTAATTTTAAATGTCCCTCCTGTGTTCCTGTAGCACTGTTTGACTGCCTTTGGCGGCATCATCGCCATCCCCCTGATCCTGTCGCAGGGTCTGTGTCTGCAGCATGACGGCCTCACGCAGAGCTACCTCATCAGCACCATCTTCTTGGTGTCTGGAGTCTGCACCTTGCTGCAGGTCACCTTTGGCATCAGGTAGGAACTGATATGACAAGGATCCGATTTCCTGCTGAGGACGGACTATTAGCAGGGATTTGCTGCCTGTGGCTGATTTTATTGGTTGTTGTTGATTAAACACAGCAGTTCAACAAGAGAGTGAATCAAATGGAATCAACCAATCGTCTCCATTTCAGGTCTGAGTCTTTTTCAGATGAAATCTGAAGCATTTGAAGAAGAAAAAATTAACACTTTACAACTTTTTGTACATTTTGTCAAGCAGCTTTACCCTTTAGGATTCACATTTTTAAAAAATTATGACTAATCGATGAACGAAATAATTGTAAACTAATGCAGGCATCAATTAATCGGTAACTGAAGTATAGACACTATAAAAAAGGCCTTTTGCTGAAAGAACAACACAGGCAGAGCAGTAATTATGTACAAAATTGATAAACATTTTGCATTTAAGATAAAAAAAATCTCTGTCTGTAAATATTTTCTACCCAGAATTCCTCAAGTTGCAGCTTCAGCTCTGGACAATAAGGAAAATAAATTTTTCCTTTATGTTTCCATCTCCCGTTCAGCACATTAACTTTTTTTTTCGTTAATGTTGAAAAAGTAAAAATAATTTTAAAAAAAAGCTCTGTAAACAGAAGTGAGGATCCTGTGTTAGTTATGCTGAGTTAAGGTGATAGTAAACCTGGTGCAAAAGCTGTTTTTGTCTTTGAAAACCAGATTTAAAATGTGATTTCAGCTCTGAGCGCTGCAGCTCAGCTGAATCCTGTCGTCACAGCTGGATTAGTCAAGGAATTTCCATCTCATTATGTTCGGAATCTGGTTTCTGCTAAAACCGGCATTCTCCTGGCTTAGCACCACTGATGCTTTCTTGTCCTTTCCTAAGCATTCAGGCATGAGCTGGCAGGAAAACATCACCTTCAACAAGTTCAAGTTTTTCTTTCTCAAAGCAAAGAGCCATTTTCTCCTCCAACAACTTCCTGCATGATGCTGATTTACATGCTTCACTGCAAAGTCGGATGTGAATAACAGATAGTGAGCAGCACAGAGACAATCATTAGCAGCTGATTGCTTTAACCTACTTAACCTCGAGTCTGTGTGTCTAATAGGAGAGTCACTCTCGCTTCACATGACTTGACTTAACTGTTCATATGCACCAGATGGAGACTGTAGGTTCAAATCTCCTGCTTATGAATAAATATAAATGATCTCAGATATTAGGAGTATTTTGCTCACCAGTTCATTAATGACTCGGCCATCTTTGCCCCCAGGCTGCCCATTCTTCAAGGCGGTACGTTCACGCTGCTGGCTCCCTCCATGGCGATGCTGTCCATGCCAGAGTTTAGGTGTCCTGCCTGGACCCAAAACGCCAGCTCAGTCAACGCTTCGTCCACAGAGTTCACAGAAGTGTGGCAAAGTCGGATGAGAGCTGTAAGTAAACTGTGAGCATTTAACCGTTTAAAGCACAGGTTGGATCACAGCATTTTTAATTGAATTGAATTAAACTAACAGCTGGTCACATGACTCCACTGGGTTTTACCTCCAAATTTAGCAAACAAAGAGAAACCAAACACTTTTTGTACTGTTCTGAAAAATAAATTGGCTTATTTATTTTTCAGACACCAGCTGCCATGGAGTCTGTGCACCATGGCAGCTGTGCAGACATGCTCAGGCTTTTAGCAGCATGCTTCACTGACGATGTTGTGATGTTTGGAGATCAAAGATTAACAGCAATATTTGAGTTATTTAGCCTGTCATAAGAAAAAAAAAAAGGGAATTCTTTTTTGAAAGTTAAATTTTCACTGTTTTTCATGGATTTCTAAATGTCACAGTTTTCAAACTTTATAGCCCATTTAGCTCCAGTGAGCAAGATAAATTAATAGAGGTTAAATATTTATAGCTCCAAATATATTTATCTTGCTGGCTAAATATTTAGATATCTAAATAATTAGCCAGCAGGCTAAATATGCACTTCAGCCACAAAATATTTAACTTCTTGCTAAATATTCAAGTTGGAACTAATATTTAGCTCCAAACTAAACATGTTTAGCAAACAAACTATATATATATATTAAAACTTTGACTGTTTTCTCAGTCTCAAGGGATTCTAATTTTTTATTGAAATGTTGCAATCATAGTTTTGTTGTTTGTTGTAGACTTTAGTCATTGTGATGATTTTATGTATTTTTAGGGTTTTAGTTTCAGCAATAACCAGCCAATGTGCTGTCAGATAAAAATAAAAACTCTTAAATTATATAATTTCACTTGTAATCATTTTACAGACTAAAAATGTCCAAACAAAATGTCTTTAATAACGAGGTGGGGAACCGTTGTTTCTAGGCCTCAACTGCGTTTCAGCCTTTGTGCAGGTTCACGACACTCCCTCTAGTGGCAGACAACAGTATTACAAAAACAAAGACGAAAGTGAATCACACAATTAGAATATTTTATTCTTACAAAATAAAACATCGGATTTTTTCCTCCTTTTTTCAAATTAAGTTTCCATTGTTTTTTTTTAACTGAATGAGTGTAATGACTGATGTCTAATAGTTCTGATGTTTCTGTCTCTAGCTGCAGGGCTCCATTATTGTGGGCTCCATCTTCCAGGTGTTTGTTGGATTTTCTGGCCTCATCGGCCTCTTCATGCGCTTCATTGGACCTCTCACCATTGCTCCCACTATCGCTCTTATTGGTCTGTCGCTGTTTGATTCAGCTGGGAGCAGCGCTGGAAACCACTGGGGCATCTCTTCAATGTAATTTATTGGACTTTTTTATATTTTTACACAAGAAAAAAAACACCAAACATTGTTTATGTCTTTCAGGAAATCTGTTTTCCTAAATCTGGTTCTTTTTCAAATTCAACAAGATAAAAAATTATCAATGCCTTTTCCTTAATGATAATTCTTATGTGAAAAAAGACTTACAATTTTCTGTTCAGAATCTGTTTTCTCCATCTCCTGTTTAAATTTCAGACTGATTTTATTTCTGTCTGCCTCTGACAGGACCACAGCCCTTATCATCCTGTTTTCACAGTACCTCCGTCACATAGCCATCCCCTTTCCTACCTACAGCAAGGATAAAAAGCTTCACACTTCTCCAGTCTACATCTTTCAAATTCTCCCTGTATGTAACTGAAAAGGTGATTTATGTTTTAGAAATAGAGTAAATTGTGATTGTTTTTGTTGTTGTTGCCCATTTCAATTCTCAGGTCTTGTTGGGAATCACAGTTTCTTGGCTCATTTGTTACATCTTGACGGTGTATGACATTCTTCCTGCCGAACCTGGGCAGTACGGTTACCTCGCACGCACAGACCTAAAAGGAGAAGTAATCAGCCAAGCTCCCTGGTTTACCTTCCCATACCCAGGTAAGATGCTGCAGTATCAGACATTAAGATTACATCTGATTTTTTCAGAGTGCCAAAATATCTCAAAGATGCGTCTGTTTAAAGCCAGAGGAGATTTGTGTGACTGTAAAAAACAATATTTCTTTTCACAAAATAATGCAACATTTACTTTAGGCAATTCATGTAAATCTAACAAATCTATCAGAAGGTGCACAGTATTGTAAATATTAAAACGCTGCAACAGCCTGGTTAAACTAATATGCTCCAAAACACAATTTTCACTTCCAGACAATTTTAAAAAGATATTTTTAATCTGGCAAACGAACCTTATTCAAATGCATTATTTCTATACTGAATGTAACTGTATGCAAAAAGCATCAACCGGAGACGAGCGAGGAAAACAGTGACGTCATAAAAACTGGACGTTTCTCCAAAAGTTATAAAAAGACGGGACAATAATAACAGTAATTATTGTGAATATTCCGCCCATATTATGAATTCATTTATAAATTAATAAATAATTTATTTGGTTTAAAACCAAATGTTACATCTGCAAAATAAATATTTAGCTTAGAGCTCAGAACTAAATATTTAGCTAACATGCTAATGCTAGGTTGCCCCTGACCGGAAGTGGACTGCTAAAAACAAAAGCTGGGTCTTACTTTCTCCACTAAACTCCTGGGAATCAGGCCGCTGCTGCTGTCCATCCATCGGTAAATGTCCGTCCGTCTGTTAAAACGGCTCATCCAGCTGAAACTGCGGGAACGGAAACAATGAAGAGGTGAGAGTTAGAACTGTCACCGGCTTTTATTTTGGCAGTCAGCTTCCGCCTGGTGAATTTACATGTTAGCCAAGTATTTAATTTGAAGTTAAATATTAAAAACATGACCAATCTTTCTTCACGTTTTCTGTTTCTCGGTTGGAAATTACAGTTTTGAATTGGCCTAATCAAAGTTCAATATCAGATGAGATAGAAAATCTCAGGAGTCACCCGAAGAAGAGACTGAATATTAAAAAATTATGTCCAAATTTATGCAGTCAATTTGTATTGTTTTACATTTCCTTCTGATTAATGTGTATTATTCACATTTACCATAAGCAGGTAAACTTTTGAAAGCGACATTATAATGATGAGATCCCATGAAGTAAAAGCTATTTTGATTAAAAACTGTTCATAAAACAGGAAAGTCTTTGTTAAAGGTGCTAGTTTAGTGTTTATGTCTGCAGATAATCAAACGGAATATATTTAAGATGTTTTTGTGATTCTAGTTTATTTTGCTTGAAACCAAACCCAGGCCAGTGGGGGAAACCCACAGTGAGCCTGGCCGGCGTGGTGGGGATCCTGGCCGGGGTCATCTCCTCCATGATCGAGTCTGTTGGGGATTATCACGCATGCGCAAGATTATCCGGAGCGCCGCCGCCACCGAGACACGCCATTAACCGCGGCATCGGCATCGAGGGAATCGGCTGCCTGCTGGCTGGAGCGTGGGGAACCGGAAACGGAACCACTTCCTACAGCGAGAACGTCGGTGCGCTCGGCATCACCAAGGTAACAGCCTCCTCCATGGGATGACGTCAGACTGAAAGAGCAAACGCTTCAGCAGCATCTCCTGACTCTGCAGGTCGGAAGCCGCGTGGTCATAGTGGCCAGCGGGGTGTTCATGGTTTCCATGGGGATTCTGGGTAAAATGGGTGCTGTGTTTGCAACCATCCCCTCTCCGGTGATTGGAGGCATGATCATGGTCATGTTTGGTGTCATCTGTGCAGCAGGAGTCTCTAATTTGCAGGTAAACACCTTAAGTTAGAACAGGAAAGTTTCCTGAAAGCTTCTCAAAGATTTCCGATCCTGTTCCGACTGGAAGATTTCTGCCCATATTTTCAGTACACAGACATGAATTCATCCAGAAATATCTTCATTTTTGGCTTCTCCATGTTCTCTGGTTTGGTCATTCCCAACTGGATATTAAAGAATCCCAAAGCTATTGCTACAGGTACATAAACAGTTTGTGTTACTTTGTTAATTAACATTTAAAAAGCATCAAACCGTCGTTTCCAGGTGCGGTAGAGTTCGACCAGATGCTGCAGGTTCTTCTGACAACCAGCATGTTTGTTGGCGGTTTCTTCGGGTTCGTGTTGGACAACACCGTCCCAGGTGCTCTCACACATCAACACAACCTCAGTGACAGTAGGGCTTTCTGCCCAGGGCTGCACAGTGTGGGAAGGCAGGGGGGTTAGGGGCACAAGGCCAAAAATAATAATATTTTGAATAACAAAAGTGTTTTCATAAGAAGATGTTGTTCTAAATGAAATGGTTCTTCCTGTGTTTTTAGAAATATCGACTGTGTTTTCTTTGCAGGATCGAAACAGGAGCGTGGCATCCTGGCCTGGAACAAAGCTCATGAAGACGATTCGTGTGAAACTCTGGAGACTGGAGAGGTTTACAACCTCCCATTTGGCCTGACCTCCTACCTGTCCTCGTTCTCCTGGCTGCGCTACGTCCCGTTCTGCCCGCCGGGCCTGTCCAGCTCCCTGGAGCCCAAGCAGCCGCTGGGAACTCCTGACCCGGGCCAGATCATGATCGGAGTTGGGTTGTGAGCCACGGTTTCCTGTTACGGTGCCATCATTTCCCCAAACACACCAACACCAGAGGCAGCTCAGGCTCTGTAACGTCTCACAGACGGTGTACTGTAGCAACAGTGTTTGGATCTTATTACATCATAATTCATCTTTCTTTTCACAGCGTGTTTGGACTGCTACATTAACTTTTAAATGAGACCAAGTGGTGAATTCAGAAAAGAAGGCCACACAGGAGTAAAAGAGTAATCGCTGCCATTTCTTAGAAATAAAAAGGCGACTGAAAAGCAAAGATACTTTGACTAGACAAAGTTTAGAAACAGCAGGTGAATGTGAATCAGACGACTTTTTCACAGCAGGATGTGGAGTCGGACCAGGAGTCATTATTATCATTTTCAGCCTTTATTTACATCCAGATTCACCGTCTGCTGCTGCATCATGATACACGTCTCACATCAATGATGTAAAAGTCGGACAAAATGTGACATGAAAACTATCTGATACCAGTTAGTTCCACATATGGAAGTGGAACAGATCAGTTTTTCAAGGTTTTTGAAAAGATTGAAATTGGAAAGTTAAAAACCCGTCTGATTTGAGTCGTATTTTCCTGCAGTTTGAACGCAGCCGAACCTCCAGGACTCAAAGTTCTGATGTTTTATATCTGTTCTATTTCATGAACAAAGCAAAAACTGAATTTAAAAAAAATCTTTGGTAGGATTTGTAAAAATGTAAACTGTTGCCATGAGGGGAAAAGTTTCAGCTTCTCACCTTTTAAAAGTGAACAGAATCTTAAACTGGTAACAGAGGAGTGAAACATGTCTGCTGATCTGCTGCTGCTGCTGGATACATTTTTGGAAAGATATTTAATGCAGTGGTGCTTTGCTTTGAAATCCAAGATGGTTTATTATTTACATTGGATCCTTAATGACAAGAGATTAAAATGAATCCAACATAGACACCTTTATTAAAGTTTTCAGATATTTTTCACTCATATTTCATATTATTTTCACTCTGTTTTGTAGTGACTCATTTAAAGTTGTTTTGTTTTCAGTCTCAGATGTCAGTTGCATGCAGGTGCTAGTAAATCAAATATTCAATGTAAATATGATGTAAATATGGGATTTCAGTTGAATCGTCTTTTGCTGAGAAGATTTCAGTGATTTCTTCATTTGGATTTCTGTTCAGTTCATTTCTGATCCTCATTTCTTTCAGTTGCAACATCTAATAATGAATTTTTAAAGTCATGTTTATTAAACATTGAACCCAAAATGTGGATCGGTGCTCAGTTTGTCTGTGCCAGGTCTCGTTTTATAGCTTTATAGAAACCAACAAAAGACTCTCCCCACATTCCTCTTTGTTGAACTGAAGCTGCGCTGATCATCTTCTGGGTTGTGTTCACCAAAGTCATCAAGATTTGCTCAAAATCCTCCTGATGCAGCGAAGCGCTGTGCTCTGACAGCTCAGCTGTGAGCCCAAACACTTCCGTTAGCTTCTTGGGAACAATTTCCTCTCAGATGAAGTTCAGATTTCTGGTCTGACGGAGCGAAGAAAGTTCAACGTCGTCCACAGAAAACTCCCCACTGGGATCAAAACGTCCGCCGGCCATCAGGATCTGTTACACAGAGAGAAGAACAGGAAAAAATGCGACAAATGGACATCATTCATGGTTTTGTAGAACGTTGCATTTCCAGCTGCTGAAGATCCTCTATTCACTTTTGCTGCAGCAGGAAAGAGGACTTTGCAAATATATATTATATATATATATATATATATTATATATATATATATATATATATATATATATATATATATATATATATATATATATATTATATATATATATATATATATATATATATATATATATAAAAAAAAAAAATTCCCTTCTCACCCACCGCGGGTGGTTCTTATCCTCTGAGCTCGGGTCCTCTACCAGAGGCCTGGGAGCTTGAGGGTCCTGCAGTATCTTGGCTGTGCCAAGGACTGCTGCACATTTCTGGACTGAGATGTCTGATGTTGTTCCTGGGATCTGTTGTAGCCACTGCTCCAGTTTGGGGGTTACTGCCCCGAGGGCCCCGATGACCACAGGCACCACTGTGGTCTTCACCTTCCAGGCCCTCTCCAGTTCCTCCCTGAGGCCCTGGTATTTCTCCAGTTTCTCGTGCTCCTTTTTCCTGATGTTGCAATCACTTGGTATTGCTACATCTACCACAACGGCTTTCCTCTGATGTTTATCCACTACGACAATGTCTGGTTGGTTCGCCATTACCATTTTGTCTGTCTGGATCTGGAAGTCCCACAGGATCTTAGCTCTGGCGTTCTCCACCACCTTTGGGGGTGTTTCCCACTTTGATCTCGGGGTTTCCAGTCCATATTCTGCACAGATGTTTCTGTACACTATGCCTGCCACTTGGTTATGTCGTTCCATGTATGCTTTCCCTGCCAGTATCTTGCACCCTGCTGTGATGTGCTGGACTGTCTCAGGGGCCTCCTTGCACAACCTACACCTTGGGTCTTGTCTGGTGTGGTAGATCTGGGCCTCTATTGCTCTGGTGTTTAGGGCCTGTTCCTGGGCTGCCAGGATGAGGGCCTCTGTGCTGTCCTTGAGTCCAGCTTTTTCCAGCCATTGGTAGGATTTACTGATATCAGCCACTTGGGTTATTTGCTGGTGGTACATCCCATGTAGGGGTTTGTCCTCCCATGATGGTATCTCTGGCACCTCAACCTCCGTTCCCTGTTGTCTGAGACATTCACTGAGCACATTGTCTGTTGAGGCTTTGTCTCTGATGTATTTATGGATCTTAGTTGTTTCGTCCTGGACAGTGGTTCTCACACTCACTAGTCCTCTGCCTCCTTCCTTGCGGCTCGTGTACAGTCTCAGGATGCTGGATTTGGGATGGAACCCTCCATGCATTGTTAGTAGCTTTCTGGTCTTAATATCTGTGGCTTTTATCCTCCTTTGGCCAGCTAATTATTCCAGCAGGGTATCTGATTACTGGCAAGGCATAGCTGTTTATCGCACGGATTTTGTTCTTGCCATTGAGCTGGCTTCTCAGGACTTGCCTTATTCGTTGGAGGTATTTAGCTGTGGCTCCTTTCCTTGTGACCTCATCGAGGTTGCCATTTGCTTGTGGTATACCTAGGTACTTGTAACTGTCCTCTATGTCTGCTATTGTTCCTTCTATATATATATATATATATAATATATATATATATATATATATATATATATATATATATATATATATATATATATATATATATATATATATATAAAGAGGACTTTGCAAAAAAATATATATATATATATATATATATATATATATATATATATATATATATATAAAGAGGACTTTGCAAATATATATATATATATATATATATATATATATATATATATATATATATATAAAGAGGACTTTGCAAATATATATATATATATATATATATATATATATATATATATATATATATATAAAGAGGACTTTGCAAATATATATATATATATATATATATAAAACGGGCACAAGAATGATTTAAATAAGCTCAGCTTCCCTATCAGCTTTTCTTCTATATGCACATGTTCAGGATTAATGCTGTAAACTCAGAAGCGGGTAAATCTTTGTGTCAAATGGAAAAATGACTTCATCTTTAATTGAGGGTTTCTGTTCTGCTGCACGTCATGAGCTTCAAACTCTGACCTCTGACCTTACAGACAAATTCTGTCTGCAGACACTAAACCTCAAAGGTAGAAGGAGAATCAAAGGAGGAGCAACACACGGAAAATATCACACAGTCCAAATGACTTCAACATGCAACGTATGGTTTTAGTTTCCCCGGCTTTACATTGCAGAACGATCGCAGCAGGATGTGTGCAGAACGGAAACGGTTCAAGATTTAATCCTTTAGTTTAAAATAAGAGGAGCCAATCTGCTGCTGTGGTTCTTCACATTTTATAAAGTGCAAAGCAAAGATTCAAAACAGATCAAAGGATTGGATTAAATAATACGGCACAGAATTTTGGAAAGGATGAGTTTGTTTATAATAACCTTAATGAATCTAAACTGGACGAGGATTAGAGAGCGTGAACAGCATTAATATTCTGATGAAGAAGTCAACTCTTTTTTCCAGTTTTCTCCTTTACATAACTTTTATTTAAACACTGTTTTCCTGTAGTGGTTCACAAATGTTTTGACAGATCAATGAATTGTCACATAATGGATACAAATCAAAGCTTTCAGTTTAAAGATGGCCAACTGATAGCGACTTGGACCCAGCTTTTATTTTGGTAGTTCACTTCCTGGTTTGCGTGTTGGTTAAATATTTAGGTAGAATCTGTTCTGCTCATGCATCTCCTGTAATGTTTCTGTTTTCATTATTAAACCTTAAACATTGATCATCAAGCTCCTGTCTGGATTTTGGTCCAACTTTAAAAATCACCTAAAACGATCCGCTCAGTTTTCCAACTATCATCTCGTCTGAATTAACAGGTATGAATCAAAAATATCAATTTCCAGATTCCCAAACTGCCTCTCACACTGGGTCAGCGGTAAAAGTTTGAATTTTAGAGTCTGAGCTTCATCATGAGTCAAAATGTATTCTATATTTAAGAGTCAATAAACTTTTGCTACTTATTATTCACAGTGATGAAGAAAAGACTTTATGTTGCCATATGTTTAAAAGATTGTTGAGTTCAAGGCTTTTACATTTGGAGGATGAAGAAAGAAACTGAAACGTTTTGGATCCATGTTGTTTTCTGGCTGTCCTGCTGTGAAGCATACTTTAAAATAAAATATAAGCAACCATGATGAAGCTCATAAACTGGAATGGCGTTCATAAATCTCTCTAAATGGTGGGCACCGTCACACGCCTGGCCGCCACGCCTGGCTGCAGGCGATTATGTGGAAAACGTCAGAAGGTCCCGGAGCCGCAGACTGAACTCAGATGTTCAGCAGCTGAAAATTCACCAGGATTTACTGACTGACTTTCCTTCATAACATTTTATGTCCCATCAGTTACAGTTTTTGTTAGTGGCTTTGGTGCATTACTCACATCACTACTGACAAGCACTGGAGCTTTTATTTTGATTAATTAATTACATCGATTTTAACACTGTAAGCATTCTACACAATTAATCACTCTTTTCCCCTTTTACATATTTACGTTCCGGCTGGAACTTTTGTATTTACATGTTTCCAGGATGCCTGTAAAACTGACGCACAAGTTCTAACAACAGCCACTCCTCTTGGCCCTCTGAGGGATAATTCAACTATTGTTGTGCTAACGTTGTGCTAAAATCAGTTAGCCTATCAGCAAAACTGTTTGAGCTTGAAATAGCGTCTTAATGCTAAACATGTAGCAGCAGCAGAGACGCTAATGCTAATGTAGATTCACAGTAGCAGCTAATGCTAATGTAGATTCACAGTAGCAGCTAATGCTAATGTCAGCGTCTACATTTCAGAAGAAGCTCCATGAATGACCAGAGAAACTAGATAGAAAAACACTTTGCTCCAACCTGACGGTTAAACAGGTTAAAACTGTCATCCTTGCTGTTGAGCTCATATATAAATTTACATAATCATTCAGCAGCAAAAATAAATCTAAACTAAACAAATATTCTGCTGATTAGAGGCTCTGACATGAAATAGAAAATGATTTAATTTGTTGTTAACCTGATCCAGTTTTGTTGTTGTTTATTCTGAGAAAGCTTTTAATTTCTTAAAGAGGAAACCTCAACCTGCAAAGTTTACTGCATAAGAAATAAACAATGATATACATGTATTTATATATATTTTAATTAAAAACACACAAAATCAGTTATGAAATTTAGAATGACAACATAAATTTTTTGCTATTTTTAATAGCTGAGCTATCTTACCTCTGGTCGGGGACTGGGCGACTCTGGTCCTGATGAAGGACCAGAGTCATCACTAGTCTCCAGGAAACCATGGCAACTGCATCTTACTGAGGATGAAACCAGGCTGCAGTTTGTCTTTTTGAAGATTCTGTCCTCCGCTTTGGTTTTCTCTTGGTTTTATTTCACTATGTGTCTCTGTCTCTTCTGGTTTGTTTGTCCCAGCATCTCCAGTCCAGCAGCTCCGTGTTTCACCGTCCACTAAACTTTCTTCACTGCTGTCTTCAGACATCAGTGAGAAATCTGATTTCTCTCTTCTTTCTGATTTGTGTTTCTGCAGCTGCATTTTAATGCTAAGATGGTTTCAGGTTCAAACTCCTGCTTCTGGTTTATTTTGGTAACTTTTGTACGACACTTTCCATTTCCTCTGGACATGAAATTAATGTTGTATTTAACATCCTGTAGTGAAAAAGAAAGAAAAGTGTCTAAAATGTTACTTACAGCTGCTGTTTGCATGCAAGAAACTCAAGAAAGTCTTGGAAAAGTATCCTGAGTCCTTTGAGGGAATTTTATGAGACAGACCAACACAAAGTGTGTATCCATGTGAAGC